GTACAAATTATTGGTATCTGTGTGTAGACCACTGGGGTAAATATTTCTTCATGGAAAACTGAACTCTGTCTCCCTTCCAGGAGTGTGGACTGCAAATTTATTTCCTCGTTGCTCGACAGAAATAGGCACAAAACGAGGAGTTGTCACTAGGAGTCCGAAGGCAGCAACTCGGAGAGTCCTCTTGCATCTTTTTGCTGACCTCAGGTGTTTCCTCACTTGTGAGCTGACCTGCAGAGCTCAGCCCTTTCCCTGCTGAGAGCTCCTCTGCTTTCCTCTCTGCACCTCTCCCCATTTTTCGGTCTCTCCTGGCATTAGCTGTAGTGTTTGCCATGCCCTCAGCTGGGTACAGCCCTCTGGCAGGCACTCGGGGCTCTCCACATACCAGAGTTTGTTCATTTGAGCGCGTTCGAAAGGCACAGCCTGTATCACCTTGTTCAGTGGAGAAATCTCCCTAGCATATGAATTTTTCTGTGCATTCACCCCAAGGTGTCTTTTTTCTTTGCTTCTTCACTTGTATTCCCCCCTCATCAAGCTCCAGCTTAATTTACCCTTTCATGTAAGGTGTTTGCTTTCTTCTCTGCAGCTCTTGACCTCCAGAACAGCTTTCCAGAGTTCATGCCTCAGAACCTCGGCTTTTAAATTGTATTTTTGAGTGACTGCTTAATTCTGAAAACATGGAGGAATACCTGTGGAAAGTGTGTAGGGATTGTTAAAGTGCCTGTGCTACGGCTTCCTCTCTGCTTTCAAAAGTTATCTGTACTCTCTGGATAGGCTTGCATCCCCTCCCCAGTAATATCACCATTGTGGTGACATACAGAAAAGCTGCCCTTTTATCTGCCCCTAGCAATTGTAATATCTTCTAGAGACTACGCCAGACTTAGTCATCTGCCCTTGCTTAACTTGCCCAACTTAGTCCTCACTCTGAGACACTGACGGAGACACAGTTGAGCGCTAAGACACATTTCTCTGGCTTGCTGCTTGGTTCACTGTCAGCTATCACTTAATACACACAATTTATTCCTTGCTATGCTTGGTCATTTCCAATCTTCCTATTTTCCCTGCTCAGTCAACCCTAAATGGGAGTTGCTTTCCAACTCCTCATCCCATTTTTTTGGAATAAGTTATTTTATCTTCTGTCCCCATCTCAGCAGACTTTGTCCCAGTTTACTTTTGCTCTCATTCTGAGTTCAACTTTTGTCCCTTTGTATTTAAATCAGACTACTGCTGCTCTAATATGCCCTGAATGCCTGCTATGGGGGCAGGGGACTTAGATGTGTCTCATCCTGGATGGGACCTCCCAGGAGATAGCATGTGCATAGCCTGGGCAGGCCCAAGAGCTGTGGCGCTTGCAGTTTGAAATGGAATTTGGCTGTTAATGTTTATACTGAACATGTACCAGCTGTGCTTTTCCAAGTGTTTTTAAATTTAGGATTTGGAGGGAATAGAAAGGCACATGCCCGACTCGGATCATCCTTCTGTCAAATTTTACGTGCCTGCTAAAGCATAGTGGGTGCAGCAATATTTCAGACCAAGGGGTTTCAGAAGGTAGCACAGGTAACATAGTTTTTCTTAGGTCTGTCTCTTCCAGACAGAGCAACTGTCTTGCGTCCAGTAATAAAGCTGAGGGAGACATCTAGCAGGAAAAATTTCAAATGCGCATAGTTTGGCAAAGTTATGCTCCATGGTTTTATCATTGGAAAGAGTTAGAGGACGTTTTACTGCTGCTTCCCTCGAACTTAAAAATATAAGCCTCACAGAAAATGAGGCTTTGGTTTGACACGGTGCGGTCTTCAAAACTGATGCTCGGATCATCCTTCTGTCAAATTTTACGTGCCTGCTAAAGCATAGTGGGTGCAGCAATATTTCAGACCAAGGGGTTTCAGAAGGTAGCACAGGTAACATAGTTTTTCTTAGGTCTGTCTCTTCCAGACAGAGCAACTGTCTTGCGTCCAGTAATAAAGCTGAGGGAGACATCTAGCAGGAAAAATTTCAAATGCGCATAGTTTGGCAAAGTTATGCTCCATGGTTTTATCATTGGAAAGAGTTAGAGGACGTTTTACTGCTGCTTCCCTCGAACTTAAAAATATAAGCCTCACAGAAAATGAGGCTTTGGTTTGACACGGTGCGGTCTTCAAAAACTGATGCTGGCTGTCCCCCCCCACGGTACTTCCCCCTCTGCTATCTTGACAAAACCCCGTGCTGGTAGTTACATCATGCTTAGCACTCTATCTGTTATGTTCTTACAAGGTAACACTCTGGCTTTTTTTTTTCTTTTTAATTGATGCCAGTTTCTTTCCCCAAGAACTGAAGTTGATTGCTGTGTGACACGAAAGCAAAGCCACTCGAATGCCAAGCTGATGCCCCAAGGAGGATGGAAGGTGTCCCACCACTCCTGCTCGGCAGCCCTCAGTGCAGACAAGTCGCCTGGCAAGGGCTAACCCAGCAGAAAACTCCTCACTTCTGTTTTGGAGGAGGGTTAGGTTTCTGCTGGTTGTGATCCCTTGAGCCAGCTCCCTGCGGGGTCTGATGAGGACCCATCGGTCGGGTGCTGCCCGCAGCGGGGGAGCAGTGGTAGCTCAGGGTTGGAGGGAGGATGCAGGAGAAGTGGTGGTGGCAGCAACCTGTTAGACCCAGGTAGCTGTGAGGTCAGAGCAGCCCATTAAGGAGGGATGGGCTATAATTTCCCGATTGCACCTTTTCCATCCCTTTTTTCAATTCGTGATAAGCTACGTTTGCTCTTTTTCTAGTCTTCTGTAAGCATACCTGCCTCCAACCTCTTCTTAAAAGTTAATCCCTGAGACTGAGTATTGTAAAGTGAATTTCATCAGGTCCTGCCTAATTGAAAATACTTAGCTTGTCCTAGTACATTTTAAACTATTTTCCTATAGACACAAGTGTTCTTATGAAGACGTTCTTGTGGGTTTGCCTCTGATGTTAATTGTGGTAGCTACCTGGGTTTCTTTTTTTTTTTTTTTTTTTTTAAAAAAAAAGGGATTGAAGCTAAAAGGGCATAACTACGTAGGAGTCGAGGTGCCGCCGGTTCTTAGTGGTCTGCACTGAACAGTGGATCCATAGTTGTATCTATATCAGCAGTTGCTTGTAGTATTGAAAGAGAAAATGGAGTAAAAAAAAGTTGATGCCAAACTTTTCAGGTCTCCACCAAGGGGTTAGGTAGGTGTCTGGTTCAGATCAATAGGATGCTTTCCTGTTACTTTTATGTTTCTCGCTGGATGTATCAATTTGTGGCTTTACCTGTCTCATTGCCCCATGTGCTTTATGCTCCTTTCACGATCCCCCTGAGGAATCTGACTTCCATTTATTGCACTCAAGTTTCATGTTGCTGAGAAGTTCTTAGTCCCTATGCTTCCTATCTTTCCCTACCATTGGGATGCTTTGTGCTGGTGTCTTTTGGCTTGATACTTCTTAGCAGGTCCCACATACTGTGTCAGAAGATTCTGCATGCTATGATTGATCAAACAATGCAAATAAAGACAATACAAAATTTGTACAAAAACTTGTAGAAATACTGCAAATAACAAATACAGTGCTGTAGCAGAAATAAGTTATGCAAATATCAAGATTTTTTTTTTTTTTTTAAAGGGTTACTGATTCTGCTGATTGCTGAATGCAGATCTTGAGATTTCTCAATGGAAGTCTGTTATCAGAAAGCACTATGAATAATTTTGGAGATAGGAGAGAGAAACCGTGAGTCCCCCAGGATCTCTAGTGCAAAGAAAAAGGCACTAGAAAATCTTTGGTCTGTAAGTCAGGGAAGAAGAAATTGAGAGAATATACCACTTCAATCCTGCATCTTGTTATGAAGTTTGTAAAACAGGAAGGGGAAGAAAGCACTTGCTGAGTGATGTGTAACATCTGGCCAGAAATTAAACATCCCCCAGGGTTTGCTAAAATTGCCTCTTGGTAACTTCACCAAGCTCTTTTAAACTCTTCTAAAATATTTTGCTCTGTATCTCTTGCTCAGGTTTTCTGTATGCTTCGTGCCCTACAAAATAACTACCTTGTAGTGCTATCTCTGCTGTTTGGTATTTTTCCAGAAGCTAGTCAACAGTCCTGTGCTGCCTGTAGGTATGGTACGCTGGTGAGACCAACAAGAGTGTGTTGTTTGTAACACCCCCCGACACACACGGATGGGCTTGCGCTGCTGTGCGCAGCCAAAGGATGCTGTTTATGTTCTCTCACTACGAAACCTGATTATTTGAAGTTCACAGGAGCAAGTTGTAAGTGTTTAACCACAAAAGTAGGGGCAAAATAACGTTGTTCATGTCTTGCAAACAAGTTGAGACAAAAAGTTTTGATGTGTAGCCCAAACCAGAGTTTCTCTTCTGATGGAGAGAGCTGCTGCAAATCTCTGGATTTTGAGTCTTTAGCATTTCCCCTCCTTCTCACACCTGGTTTTGAGATTCTCTTTTATCTTTAATTGTACCCCTTTGGCCTAGTCTTCCCACACCCTGAATTGTTCCCTTTTCACACCTCCGTCCTTTTCTCTTATAGTTCTCAGGGTGGCAAAACACTTACTTATAAAAAGTGTGAAATGTATTTCTCCCTCTGGAATAGCTGTAATCTTAATTTAATCCAATTACGGTGGCTAAACATATTAGCTGGATGCTTTTGTTAACAGTTGACCTTTTTAAAATCTGTGTCCTTGGATTACAGAGGGGATGTCTCAGGGAGAGGAGCAGAGGTCTTTCACGCCATTAGAAGCTGCCACCAATGGGCTGCTGGGAGCCTGGTGCCTGCATTGGTTAGAAGGATGCAGTTAGTTCAGTTTTGCTCTGTCACCGATGAATTAGTGCATTGCCCCTTTGCACAAAATATGGAGAAGAGTGGCTTGAGCACTCTGCATACGCTGTTACGCTGTGGGCTTATACGATTTTCATGTACTTTAACTCGCCTTTTAATAAGTTTGAGGTTTGCAAATGGAGTCCAGTACAAAGATGTTAACTATCCATAAATAAATGCATATAAATGAATTTATTTAGAGCCTTCTGTTGGTCACAGACCCGAAGTAAAAAGCATAGGCTAAATCCACAATACAGAAATATCTGTCTATAGCTCCATAGCAGAATGTATTATTTTATCTTGTTTCCCTGAGGAGCAGAATACGATCCAACCCTCTGGGGCAAGTCTAAAGAGCAAGCAAATAAAATACTCTGAATTATCCTACCTAATTGAATAAACAACATTCTTCAGAAACAGTTATTTGGCTAAACTTCACTAGATGTAAAACTTTTTTCTTTTTTTCTGTGTCTTCCCAGGTAATGTTCTTTCTATTGTTAGGATAACAAGTATCCCCAGATTTAATTTCAGTAACCTGACTAGCATGGCAGGGTATAGAATTGTTTCCAAAGATAGTAGATTGTATTTCTGTCTAGGAACAAAATTCATATTGGTGGTGGTTTTCATTGCAGTTTGTCTTTGTGTTGCATAGTTCAACAGTTTCATTCATGATTTTTATAATTCAGGATGTACACAGCTTTCCTTTGAGCTAAATGCAACGTTTAGCTGATTTTCAGGCATCATCTTTCTGATACTACTTTTGCTCCACCTTGCTTTTATGTAGGCAGCTTTAATGCAAACATGCTAGTTAATGTGAAATAAATGTAGTGGTTGTGCTTTCAATGAGGACAAACTGTTGACAAGCAGAGGAGAACAGTTGTCCAATGCTGCTCTTGATGTTGTGTCTCGTATTTCATCGATGGAAAGCTTATAGTAGTGGAAGTTACTGGCCCTCTCAAAGCCATCCTTTCAAATGGGGAAGGAAAAATGTAACTTGCACTAATACTACCTGTGCACAAACTTACACGGATATAAGGAGTTTTTCAAAAGAAATGTAGCTTTGTGTGTGCATACCTGTGTGCTTGAGCATTTGTCTTTGGTTTTCTTAACTGAAACGTTCTCAACTCAAATGGAGGTAGAAATCTTTCATATGTATTTAAAAAGGTCCAGACTAGACTGAAGCAGGTCATACAACCGTCACTCAACTTTTCAAATTAAAAAACATTGCTGAATTTTCCAAACAAAACCATCAACCTAGCCTTTGAGAGTGAAACATTGAAGTCCACCTTTGGATTCCCACAAATATTCAGATTGCCTTGTGATCAATATGGGGTATGAACCTGTACTGATACAGAACCTTGCTGTGAAAAGTTCACTGCTGTCTGCCTTTCCTGTAATCCCAATATTGTGTTTGATAAAGTGAAATACACTTCTTAACAATCCATCAATTAAAAAAAAACAACTGTTTTTTTTAACAGGCAAAACGAAGGCTGGAGCTAGGAGAAAGTGGCCACCAGTATCTTGCTGAAGGACTAAAGACTCCAAAGGGGAAAGGAAGAGCTGCCACAAGAAGTCCAGATAGTCCAAAAAGTAAGGGAACTTGTAACACGCTGTATGGCACAGTTTTTTGATTTCGCTAGCTTGAGATCAGAGTAAACCAGTACAACAGGCTGCGTTACCTTGCTAAAAAAGTGTGTTTGTTACTGTCCTCACCTGGATGTGTGTGCAACATACTCGACCCCACAGCCAAGCGGCGCACAACGTGTTTTCAGTGTGCATCAATTGCTGGTGCAGAGCTGCTGAGAGGCCGCAGAGGCTCCTGGCTGTTAGGTCTGTCCCTCTGCCTGCTGGGCAGCCTGCAGCCTCTCCGTCCAGGACCTCCTCTTCAGCCAAGGACGTGAAGTTGGGGATGCTTAGGAGAGGTAGATGCTGAGGAATCAAGATGATACGACGGGATCAAACGCACAGTTTTCAGGCAAGGCTAATCAGGCCAGCCTCCTCCTTCCTCGCTAAAGTTACAGTAGCTGATTGGCAGGGCTTCTTCCCCCAGGCAGGGGTTTGCAAAGAGCTGCTGTGCCCCAGCAGCGTTGCACTTAAATGTTTTTTGTGGGCTCTGAGCTGCCTCCTCCCCCGGCAATATGACTAGATTATTACTGCCACTGTTTAGTTACTGCAAGTATTAATTTTTGCACATCTGTATGGCCTTGGGCAGTAGGTTTCTTGCAACAGGAGCTGGGGGTGTAGCCTTGCCATCTTGTTTGGGGGATTTCAGCAGGAGAATTAGGCTTGCAGAGAGAGGGGAATGGGGAAAAAGGAGGACTGGGGCAGCAGTGGTAGTGATGGAAGAGCAAGAGATGTGAAGGGGTACTTGTCCCTCCTCACTAGTCTAAGTCTTGTTTCTATTGAGGCAGATGGGAGAAGTGAAATTAGCTGAAGATATGAACTTAAAGCAGACAAATTAAACCACCACAGTTGTTTTAATTAAACTAAACTTCATTAAGCTAAATGAAGTCCGTTTTAAATTGAAGTGTGTTCTCACGGAAGTTCAGTACCATTCGGAGCATAGGATGCTGCTGCAGTGTTGATAAGGCTGTATAGAGAACTTCCTTGCTGCATGACCAGGAGCATATGCCATTTTAGGTGGGGATCAAGTATTCTCTTGCCCTTCTCACTCTGATCCTCTTATTCTTTTCCAAACCCCAAATTCAAACAAACAAACAAAACCCACCCTGCTCTAAATTCATAAGGTCACCTAATTGATATGAATTTTCCTCCATTTCCCAGTGCAGACAAGCCCTGAATCTATCAAAGAACGAGATACAGCAGGTTCTCTTTGCAAACAGGCAATGAATTGGTTTTTATTGAAAAGCCATCATATCCTTCAAAATATTTCGGGGTAGTCTAAAGGTTCGCTTTCAGGTAGAATTTCAGTTTTGACTGACTTCTGCAATTAAGTGTGGGACCTGAACCTTGAAAACATGAAAATGACCACCAGATCAGCCTAAGATCCATCCTGCATAATACTTGAAGCAAATGAAAGGTTTGAGATGTACTAGACCAGCAGACTTCTAATAAAGGCTGGCTCATTTCCCTTGACACAAAGGCCTTGAACATTTAGAATTAGAAATTATTCTGATCTACGTATTTAAACTCTTAAAAGCTCATCTATCAAGTACATAGAAGCTACATTTGTGCGTTAGAGCAGCGAATTGTCTAGTAAGATCTGAGCCGTTTGCTGACTTCTAATTTAAAAAAAGTGGATACTCTTGCCCAGTTTGCGCATTGTTTGGTTATGGAGAAATGATGATTATAAATTGTACCTTGCGTCAATCTCCCTAATTCACTTGAGTGTTCTGTAAGCCATGGGGCCTGGCACTGATGGAATCTGTCATTGTGTTCACCCACTGAAGTACACCTAAGTCCTGCTTAATTGCATGTGAAACACTTATCTTACAAGAGGGGAAAATCAAACCCTGATGAAAGCTGGCTATCAGCCTGATGAAGGAGAGTCATAGGGGAATTTTTGGTATTGCTGCCAGGATAAATAGATACTAAAATTACTATGAAGAATTCACATAGTGAAAGCCTAAGTAGAATATTGCTACGTGTATCCGTCAGACTAATGGAAATATTTGCATTTAAAAAAATGTATGTATTTGCTCATGTACCTGTGACTTTTGGAAAAGTACATCTTGAAATACAAATAAATACCCAGTGGTAAGTTGTGTCTTAATGCAGAGGTTTGAGAGATTTCTTTAGTAAAAATGAAAGAAATATCTGTAATATGTATCCTTTCATTTCTGGATGCTGCTTTCGGAACCAAAATGAGAAAACCGATTTATCTGGGTTTTTTCCTCTTTTCTTTCCAAGCTCCAAAATCTCCTTCAGAAAAGACTCGGTATGATACATCACTTGGCCTTCTTACAAAGAAGTTCATTCAGTTGCTGAGCCAATCTCCTGATGGGGTCTTAGATTTGAACAGAGCGGCAGAGGTCCTCAAGGTGCAAAAAAGGAGGATTTACGATATCACCAATGTACTGGAAGGCATCCATCTCATTAAGAAAAAATCCAAAAACAACATTCAGTGGATGTGAGTATTCGTTATCCTTTTCCATTCCTGCTGGCTGATTTCACTGTCACAGAGCAGCAGTGTTTTTCTTCTCCCACCTTCCATTCTAACACTTTGCTCCAAGTAATCATCCAAAACGCCTTCTATCAGGAAAAAGCTTTCTTTTTCTGTTAAGACAGGTTTTCAGTGTATAAATAGCATTTGTCAGGGAAGTTAGAAACCAGCATTTTGTCTGAATACTGGATTAACTCATTTGCTTTTGCAAGTGGAGTAAGATTTTAGGTACACATCTCTACCTACTGCCTTCCTCGGTCTTTTTCAGGATGTGGTTAGAGGAGAGGGGCGTTAGAAAAAAGATTTTGGAAGTGCTTAAAAATATTCGACTTCTCCATCTTGATGCTAGTTCCAAAATGTGTTGTCATGATAAAAAGATGCTTTTTCTGGAAAGCGTAGTTTATGTTGATTCGCTATGGGCAGGTTGAGGGAGAAGGAGCTAAGGACTGTTTCACGTGGGCACCAGTGACACAGCCAAGAGCTGTCTGAGGACTATCAAGAAGGACTGCAGAGCCCTGGGAGCGGCGGTAAGGGACTCTGGAGCACAGGTAGTTTTTTCATCAATCCTGCCGGTCAAAGGGAAGGGGTTTGAAAGGGCCAGACGAATCTGGCGAGTCAACAAATGGTTACGGGACTGGTGCCACAGCCAGGGGTTCAGCTACTTAGACCATGGGACTCGCTTTGAGAAACCTGGTCTACTGGGGGCTGACGGGGTCCATCTGTCAGAGAAGGGGAGGAGCATCTTCAGTCATAGGCTTGCCAAGCTGGTGAAGAGGGCTTTAAACTAGAGATGCCGAGGGAGGGGAACCTCAATCCATCCCACTCCTACCAGTTTGATGCCAGGGCCAGCAATAGATGCCCAGAGCCTGGAGA